TCCATGTACTACTACATTGACTACCTTCATAGCTAGACCATAAGTAGGAGTTATCATAATGGTCCCTTTATGTCTTAATGAAAGACAAATTCTGTTATCATAAATCCAAAACAATAATGTGTGCACAATGGAAACAGAATAAATAAAGATGTAAGAGTCATAAAAGATCTCAAACAAATGTCAAATATAGGCTAAACATAAAAGCAGACAACATAATTAAGAGCTGTCTTCAAGACCCATACTTTCAGCATGCTTTATAAAGGTCTTTGGAGGCAAAGCTTTCGTAAATATGTCTGCAACCATAAGATCAGTGCCTATGTGTTCAATGACAAACTTTCCTCTCTTGACATCTTGCTTTAGTGATATTTAAGGTCCTGTGTTTGGCACCTTTGGATATCCTATTATACTTGGAAAAGAAGATGGCAACTTGATTGTCACAATAAAGAGTTAAAGGCTTTGCACCCCTAAACTCAGACACAAAATTCTTCAACCAAGTCTCTTAAGTAGAAGCCTCATAACATGCTACATACTCAGCTTCCATAGTGGATGTGTAAATAAACTGCGACTTCTGGCTTTTTCATGAGATGGCACCTCCGCCAAGGAGATACACATAGCCAAGAGTGCAGTGCCTAATGTCATGGCATCCACCAAAATCTGAGTCTGAAAAACCAACCATCTGTGGATGTGTTAATCTCCTAAACTCTTATCATTTTCATCTACTAATAAGTCCACATCTCATAATTAATTTTCTTATTTTTTGTATCAATATATATATATATATATATATATATATATATATATTTATCTTCAGCTAATTGCTAAATTGTGCAAAAGTTGTGGCAGAGCTTCTTTGTTAAATTGCAAATAACATTGATGACTATACTGTGTATTAGTGTCCACCGTCACTTGCCTAGCTAGTATAGTTTTCAAACGAAATATAAACGTGGCATTCTTGCTTTTGTAAAAACGAAATATTTTTAAAAAGAAACTCCGCTGCCGGGCTTCGAACCCGGATTTCAGATGTTTGGATCTTTTCCAAGCAATTAGCCAGTGCTACAGCGGAACTAGTCATACCCCGTGATTGTAAACCATATTTAAACACTAACGAAACTTAGACAAATCTTACCGGTCATCTCAATGAGAATCAAAATTAGAAACACTAATCACACGCCTTCTCTTGATCTGCAACTGAGAGATCAATCATCATAGACAGTTTTGTGGACGTATGCAGATTCCATATGGCGTGTGATCCGAATTCAAGTCCAGTGACCACTCGTTTCACAGGAGCTAATGGCACTTGTTTTCGGATCCTCTAACTCAGTTTTAAAAACTTCAAATCCCTAGGGTTTTGGTTTAGCGTAGATTTCATTGAAGATTTTGAATTGGCGGTTATCTGTTCTACAGCATTCTGCCAATTTGTGCTTAATCTGTGAATAGAATTCTCTGTGTTAATGTTTTATTTTCGTAATCTAGACAACCATCAATGGAAATTCTGATAGCCACCTTATTTTGTACTTCTCTCTAAAATGTTAAAGAACCAATTCGAAGTTTGTCAAGATTCTCTAGGGTGTTAAAAATGCAGAATGATATACGTATGTACAGAAACGTTAAAAGATCAATCTACTTGTCTCATTGTGTTATTATAAATGATATTCAAGTTTTCTGAACTATTGTAACTAGATAGTTATCATTGGAGATTAAAGTGCATACAAGCATATGTGTATGCATGCAAGTATCTATATACAGTAGAAACTCTATAAATTAATAATGTCGGGACTTTGATATTTTATTAATTTACAGAGTTATTAATATATAGATTTTCACTAAAAAATATTTTTCAAAAAAAAAAATTCAATAATGATAATCCTTTAAGATTTTATTCAAATTAAATAAAAACTTTCCTTTATACATATATTTTGTTAACTTTTTTTTGATGTTTCTATATTTACTTTATTATATTTTTTTTATCATACTTGCCATATTCTTTAAAGTTCCTTTTTTCTATTAGTTTCCTTATATATTTGGTATGTGAGAGATTCAATTTTAGTAACTAGATATCTTAGTTATATATATATATATAAGTTTTTATATGATAATTATTAATTTATGATATTATTGGGACTATATTTTACATAGGAGTTTAAAAAAAAGTTATTATCTTATTATCTTATCGAATTGTGTCATATTTTACACTGGCCCAATTCGGGACCGGAGAAATTTATTAATTTATCGTGTTCATTAATTTATCGAGTATTAATTTATAGAGTTTCTACTGTATATATAAAGTTGATGTGATTCTATTCTTAGGCTGCCACCTTAGCAAAAGAGGGTGTCTCTAAATTCAGCATTTCAATTTTTTTTCTATTTTAATTTTTATAATAATTATCATTTATTACTATAGTAACTTAATAAGAATATGAAAAGTCATTTAAAAAAGGTTAAGTATATATAGATTTTCAAAAAATATTATTTAGTAATCATAATAATAGAAATATATTATAAAAAGAACACATTTTTTTTAGTATTTTGGAATGAAATGAGACGAAATTGAACATGACCAGACGAAAAAAAAATAGAACTGGAGAAGAGGGAAATTTTGTTTACTTCTTATTATATTAAGTGAAGAGACGAGATCTAAAAGAATAGAAAAGAATGGGATAGGAAAAGACACAAATTCAGCCTACCTCTAATTATATTTAGGGGCGGAATGGAAAAAAAAAAAAAAAAATGATGAGAAAGGACAAGACAGAAATGTTGAACATGACATAATGAAAAGAAATCGAATGTGATGGGACTGGACGGGACGAGATGAAAATGGACATAATGGGATGGAAAGGGATGAGACAAGAATTTTGCCTAACCCTAATTATATTTAGAGATGAGACATAGACAAGATAAAATGGAAAAGAACATAATAGGATAGGATGAGATTAAATGGGGCGGAGAAAACGAACGAAAGAGGAAAGAACAGGACAAGATGAAAAAGAACAGAATTATGTGTAACCCTAATTAGATTTAGAGAACTAGACGAGAAGATACGAAATGGGACATAACAAAATGGGATAAGATGAAACTGGACGGGACGGAAAATAACGTACATGATGAAAATGAACGAAATGAGACGAGATGGAACAAGACGGTACAAATTTTTCGCCTAGCTTTAATTATATTTAAGTAATATGTATATAATATTTTTGAAAAGATATTAAATTTGCAGAAAAACAATAAAATTAACACAACCTGCAAAGCGCGGGTCACCCCCTAGTTTTAAATAAAAATCAACTAATTATAATAAAACTACAAAATTTAATTGGTCACATAATATCTAAAAATAAGAAAATTATTTATATGTTGAAACAACTTTTTTTTCTTCAAAATAGCTTATCTATATTATTATTTGCGAAGTGATTTTGGAGAATAGAGCTCTTTCTCAATATTAAATGGTCTAAATTATCCTTAATTAAAGGAGAACAAAAACTTTTTTGGAGAAATACGAGAAAGCTTGAGAAGTGCAAAATCTCCATGGTTTTTTGCTTCATCTTAATAACCAAATGTTGGGACGTAGACATGAACCGGAGGCTGTCTTTCCTGGAGATCAGATAAATGGGGTTTGTCTACTTCATAACAACCAAAATCTCAAACGAGAGATCATAAAAAAACCATCACAAAAAGTCTTTCCCCCCTCTACCCCCAATTAACTAAAAGTAAATGAAATAAGTTTGTATGCTCAAAAGTTATGTAGCTTATTTCTAACGGAATAATAGTCTTAACACAACATGAGTATGAATGTCAAACCAGAAGATACACTTAGTTTAATTTAAGCTCTTCATATCTCTTTTCTTCATACCAACAACAACAACAAACAAAAACTGGTAAAAAAAAAAAGCTTCGTACGTTCTTTGTCTAATTACCTAAGACGGAGATAAAACATCTCATCGTGTATGTCCTTAACAGTGTCGAATAATCTCTCAACCTGTAACTCCATCATCTGTCGGAAACAACATACAAGATCCAACCAAACCACAATCAGTTTAGTTAAACAAACCCCTAAAAAACACAATCTACGCTGAGTATCATATGAACCAGACAAATCCTAAACCATATGTAACTCAGCAACAGAAATGTTTGGTTCCTCTGTTGGTTTTCGAACACTAAGTTTTCCAGGAAGTTTTGAAGCTGAAAATGATAAAAGACGACGATTACAAGCTGGCTCAAGGGATTATATGATGTATAATTAACAAATCAGAAAGAGATCACAAGCCTCGTACTCATATATGTTAACCATTCATGCAATCTTGGAACCATTTTTCAAATTTTGAAGTTCTTATCTAAACGTAGACAAGAAGTTGGTTTATAAGAAAAAAATTCCAATATAAGTTGATAAATATAAATAATATATATTTTTTGCATGCCATAAATTTGGTTCTGATTATATTTATACCCATTTACATGTATTTTTTTTTTTTTTTTTTTATACCCATTTACATGTATTGATCACCCAACAGCACGAAATAATAAATATATCTCCTAATGTATTGAATATTATCAATTTATCATTAGGGTTTTTTTCTTCTACAAATAGGTTGTTTAGGTCTAAACTTAGTTTAATTTAGTTGTTATTGAGTCTAAGATTGGTTGATAAAGTTGAGAGTTATCTCATATATATACATATTTTTGATCGAGCTTAGTGTTTTTCATTTTACAGATTGTTTACACAACTTCTTATGATCTTTTCTGTTGTGCACTCCTATTAATTAACCGAAGCCACAACTGTTTTCAATTTTTTTTTGCAAAAAATCTCTAAAAATATTTTGAAAATGGAAACAGTAGAGACCAATACTGTCATTATCGTGCTGTTAGATATTTTATCTCTCAGATAGCAAAAAAAATATCGTTACTGGAGGATATTTATAAAAACCTGTGGCAAAATCTTTGTAAAATGACGTCATATATAAAAGTACAGAACACCACACAAAAACGCAGAAGATTATCCAAAAATTATGGACAACGCAGAGACAGAGCAACAAGAAGAATTCAGTGAATGGGTAGTGATCCAAACCTCTCCAAAATCCCCACCAACTGACGCATCTACCCCTCAAAACTCACCGACATCACAACCGAGCCACCGACGTGAATATCCACCGGGCAACGATGACGAAGAAGATGATGCCGTTATCCCCATCGTCGTCGGAGAAGAAGAAGGCGAAGAATCATCCTCCGCCGTGAATCTCTCGCTTCCCTGGCGCGTGATCAAGATTTCCAAAAAGCGACTGATAAATGAAGATGCAACTAGTTTGACGCAGATCGTGAATCAGTCAGGAAGTGCATCAGGACGTATGGACGGACTTGTAGCGGAGCTAAGTGGAGCTTAACGGAGCTAAAGGAATGTTGCTGAGCTGGATGCGAGCTTGTAGCGGATAAGGACGAATCCAGAAGAGGCGGTCGCTGAGCTGGATGAGGAGAGTTGGAGATATCAACACAAAAGGAATATTTCCTATTCTTAGAGAAAAATAAGGAAAGGAAATATTCCCTTGAGGATTTGGAGCAATCATCAAGACCGAAACCTTGTAGGGTTTCTAGGCACGCCTATTGTGGGGTGCTCTGGCTGCTTGTAGGCGGCTATCAAGACAAAAGGAATATTTTCTATTCTTAGAGAAAAATAAGGAAATGGAGAGGAGTAATCACCAAGACACAAACCTTGTAGGGTTTGGCGGTTTGTCTATTGAGTATAAATAGAGGACCTTGGCTGCTTGTAAGCGGCTATCACAAACTTGAGAGCTTTAGCATATTTGGGTTTAGATTTCTTGTAAGAAAGCTAGGACAATGGGGGCTAGGGTTTGAGAGGTTCAAAGATCGTGGATAGATCTGAGAACGTGAGAGTTACTAGAACAGCAACCAGATCGTGGATAGATTGTGATTGTTGAGTTCGTTTAAGCATATACTTGTAAGTTATCTTAAAGAAGTTTCTAGTAATATATTTCTTTGTAGAGAAAACCCCGTCCCAGTTTGTGATCTACTACTGCATCAGTAGCCCTTGGTTTTTCAATTGGTATCAGAGCAGTCACCTTGTGTGTATTGCTATAGCAGGTGAGATCTTGCGGAATAGAGGGCTATCACCCGGACTTCATGGGAAGGTCAAAAGTGATACCTGATGCAGGAAACTATGGGTATGAAGAAATCAGTAACTTCATAGCCCTTGCCGGAATTTCTGATTTTGTGGAAGAAAGAAAAGCATCTGAATCAGATACCGAAGACTCGTCCAGTGATGAAGAATCTGAGATTGATATCTACGAAAGCTTTAAAGAAGTTCGTGATGCTTTGGTTGAAACCGGGAAAGAGAATCTCGAATTGAAAAAGGAGAATGCTCGTCTTGAAGAAAAGGTTGGAGAACTTCAGAAGGCACTTCAAGCGGAAAAAGATCTCAACATGGATAATCTCAATATCATGTTGGAAAAGATGGAAGCGGTTAAACGAGCAGATGACATCACCAAAGAGTACTTTTTGGAGAAGGAGAACTCCAGAGTCTACAAGCTGAGTTAGATCAACATCGAAAGCAACTGAAGATGTTGACTGGAACTAAGGAACTCGACAAGATCCTGAGTCTTGGTCGTGTTGGGAAGTCAAATCTTGGTCTGGGATACTCAACATGAAGTGGATCAACCGGCAAGACAGTCACTTTCGTGTCTGGAGGAATAGCTCAAGATGTTGTTCAAGCAGAGACTAGATCATCCGCACATAAACCTGATCCCATCCTAAGGAGTGAAAATCGAGGAAAGACCACCATGGGATTAGGATATGAGGCTAAGAAAGTCAGTAATGCTAGAGCATCACATCGCCACAGAGGACATCAAGGGAAACAGTGCTATTTTTGTGGAGTTGTGGGTCATATCAAGGCGTTCTGCAACAAGTTTTGTGCTAGAGTTGATCACGCCTGGAGACAAGGACGCTACTACTGGAATCATGGACTGAACCAAGTCTTCATCAGAAGACTGATCTTTACCAGAATCCTGCTCGACGTACAGCACCAGGTGGTACAAGACAGCGATTCTGCTCCAATATGGCACTATTTGAAGAAAGCAATGAGGTGGACAACACAGGACCGTGGTACTTCGATAGCGGATGTTCCAGACATATGACTGGCATGAAAGAAAATTGCAGGATGTGAAGCAGTTAAAAGGAGGAAAGGTCATTTGGATGTGGAACCAAATGAAATTCAAGGCAAAGGACGAACCTCTGATGAGCAACCACAGCTTATGAATGTCTATCTGTCCAAGGTCTAAAGTCAAATTTGATCAGTGTCAGCCAGCTTTGTGATGAAGGTTTAACGGTCTGGTTCAACAAGCTAGAGTGCAAAGCCATTGATGCTGACGGAAAGACAGTCTACGAGGAGTTCGTTCAGGCAACAACTGCTACATGTGGGATCAATCTGCAAAAGTGCCTAAGTGTCCGAGATGATGTTGAACTATGGCACAAACGATTGGGTCACATGAATATTCGACATCTACCACTCTGGTGAATAAGGAGATTGTTCGTGGTGTTCCAAAAGCTGAAGGGAATGTGAGAAACGTGTGTGGTCCTTGCAATCAAGGAAAGCAAATCAAGGTCCAGCACAAGAAGGTGCCAGATGTACAATCCAAGACTGTTTTGGATCTAGTACACATGGATTTTGATGGGACCAATGCAAGTGGAGAGCATTGAGGAAACGCTATGTCTTTGTTCTAGTGGATGATTACTCGCGATACACTTGGGTGCGCTTCATTCGTGACAAATCTGACACCATGGCGAGTTTCAAGATTTGGGCTCTTCAAGTCATCACTGAGAAAGGAAGCCTCAAGCGCATACGCAGTGATCATGGGGGAGAATTTCAGAATGAGGTCATGACTAAGTTCTGCAATGAACAAGGCATAGCTCACCAATTTTCAGCGCCTAGAACACCACAGATGAATGGAGTAGTGGAGCGAAAGAACAGAACACTTCAAGAAATGGCGAGAGCAATGATCCATGGAGGAAACATTCCTGTGAAGTTTTGGGCTGAAGCAATCAACACCGCATGCTACATCATCAACCGTGTCTACATGAGAAAGGCTTTACTCAAAACACCTTATGAGTTGTGGAAAGGAAAAGACACCTAACTTAAGTTACTTTCGTGTCTTTGGATGCAGGTGTTTCATTCTGAATGACAAGGATCAACTTGGAAAGTTCGACTCAAGGAGTGATGAAGGCATATTTCTGGGTTATTCAGGCAACAGTTCAGCTTACAGAGTCTTCAATCTTCGGTCCAAGATGATATGGAGTCGGTCAACGTGTTATTTGATGATCGATCAATCGCAATTATGGGAGACTCTCCATGTTCATGATCCAGAAGTCAGGCGAAGCTGAAGTACATGAAGAGGCAGAGGAAGGTTGAAGAACGAGCTGAAGTACATGAAGAGGATTCCAATCCAGATGAGGATGACGAGAAGGTTGAAGAAGTGCTGACACGGTGGTTGCCGTAGAACACCCACTGACACAAGTTCATAGAAATCATTCATCGAAGTGATCTGATTGGAGACATCATGAGCCACGAAAGGACGAGAGGAATCAAGCTGAACTACAAGCAGATGGTCAGCATGGCAATTATTCAATTTGAATGCTTTGTGTCAACCATAGAGCCCACGAATCATTGAAGCACTGGAAGATGCAGATTGGATCATCTCCATGGAAGAGGAACTGAGGAGTTGTGAGAAACGATGTATGGGAGAACTGGTGCCTCTACCTGATGGTGTGAATGTGGTCGGCACAAATGGATATTCAAGAACAAGACAGATGATGCTGGAAGCATTGTACGAAATAAGTCAAGACTTGTTGCGCAAGGTTACTCACAAGTTGAAGGAGTCGACTTTGATGAAACCTTTGCCCCTGTAGCACGTCTTGAGTCTATCAGACTTTCTAGGGATGGCATGCATATTGAACTTCAAGTACATCAGATGGATGTGAAGAGTGCTTTCTTGAATGGCATTCTACAAGAGGAAGTATATGTAGCTCAACCGAAGGGATTTGAAGATCCTACGCATCCTGTATGTGTATAAGCTGAAGAAAGCTCTCTACGGACTGAAACAGGCTCCAAGAGCTTGGTATGAGATTGACGAAGTTTCTGATTGACACAGGCTACATCAGAGGAACTGTGGACAAAACTTGTTCACACTTGAGAAGGAAGATGAGATGATGATGGTGCAGATCTATGTAGATGATATCATCTTTGGAGGAACTTCAGAGAAGCTGGTGCAAAACTTTCGTGAAGAGTATGACAAAGGAGTTCAAGATGAGCATGGTGGGAGAATTGAAGTACTTTCTTGGACTTCAAGTAAATCAGACTGAGGAAGGTATCTTTATTTCTCAAAGTACTTATGCCAAGAATCTGCTGGTGAAGTTTGGTCTTGAAAAGTGCAAGGAGGCAAGAACACCAATGAGCACAACACTAAGATTGGAAAGGATGAACAGGAGAAGATGTTGATGTGAAGCTATACAGAGGAATGATTGGAAGCTTGCTTTACCTTACAGCAAGTCGGCCTGACTTATGCTTCAGCGTCGGTGTGTGTGCTCGTTATCAGGCCAAACCAAAACAGTCCCATCTTCAAGCGGTGAAGAAGATCTTGAGGTATGTCAAGGGAACTGTCAATCTGGGGATCTTTTACTCCAAAGGATCCAACAGAAATCTTGCTGGATATTGTGACGCCGATTGGGCAGGATGTGCAGATGATCGGAAAAGCACAAGTGGAGGTTGTTTCTTCCTTGGGAACAATCTTATTGCTTGGCTTAGCAAGAAGCAGAATTCTGTGTCACTATCTACTGCAGAGGCTGAGTACATTGCATTGGGAAGCTGCTGCACACAGCTTATATGGATGAGACAGATGTCAGCCGATTATGGGATGGAGTCTGGACCCTTCTTGGTCTACTGTGACAACAAAAGCGCCATCGACATATCAAAGAATCCGGTGCAGCACTCAAGGACTAAGCACATTGACATAAGACACCACTTTGTTCGTGAATTGGTGGAAGAAAAACAGGTAGTACTTGAACATGTTGTCACAGATTTACAGCTCGCTGATTTATTCACAAAACCATTGGACTTTAACCGTTTTGTCACCTTAAGAAATTCCATTGGAATTTGCACAAGTGGTTTTGAATGATGCAGGGGCTGATACAGGCACTGGCTCGGGGTGTATAACAAGTTCAGATTTTGTTTGGAGTCAAAGGTGCCAATGAGGATCAGCTACTTTGTCATGCCGTCATGTCACCTCAACATAAGAAAAGTGAAAAGTAAGTGATTCTAAAAGCATGTTCAAGGTCAAAAAGCAGCTGAGCCAACTCCAAATGAATGCAATATGATGGAGATGGCTTGCTGCTTCAAGAACCAAAAAGTGATTCAATGAGCATAACAGGAAATGTGATGAACTGACAACAATAGCTCACAAGGCTAAGTTGGTTCATGTGATTTCTCGAAAGACAATGTTTCACAAGAACAAAGTCTGACGACAGAACTAAGAGCTGAATAGGAAAGGGGATGGACTGACAACAATAGCTCACAAGGCTGAGTTGGTCCATGAGCTTTCTCGAAGGGTAATGTTTCACAAGAACAACATCCAACGACAGAGAATGATCACATGTTCTGCCTTGAACAAAATAAAGAGTTTCACTTTGCACATCATTGGAATTAGAGGTGGTGATATGATCTGGGTATGACAAAGTGAAAGCTGCAGGTTGGAATCAGGATGGCCAAGCACTATGAATCTGTTGAGAATTTGTAATACATCCTGATGCAAGTGCCGACTCAGTCAATGTCTCCTTCACTAAAATGAAAGGTATTTAATTTGAGATAAACTGAGTAAAAATGTTTTTAAGCTGAAAAGATGTGACACATGGGAGGTATTACTTGTTTGGATTCTATCTTGAATCGAATCTTATGTGGTTGTCACAATTTTATCCTTGTGCTGTACTGCTGATATTGGTGCTAAGTGTTGCAGGAAATCAAACAGGATTCTGGGTCTCTAAACCAAATTAATCCGGCTGATTTATGTTGATTCCGATTAAATGGTGTTTTGAAACAGCCGTCAGATCTACAAGCCAGCAATCTCCAAGCACTGACGAAGCGACTGAAGTAGCGACCACTACATCTCTGGTAGTGACCGCCGATGGTGTTTCTGAACCAGCAGAGCCGGATGTACAACAGAACGACGCATCAATGTCTCTGTCAGATCCATAACCAGCCGTTTCACCCTCTCGACGAAGCTCGCGAAACAGAGTCTCTTGATGAACTTCAACTAGGTCAACCGTTTCGAACTACAACGAAGTAGTCTTCTCAAATCGAGAAGCAGCCATCGATTGATCCGCCATCTGATAGCGCCAGAGGTTTTGTCATCCGCTCTTACTCAGACTTAATATGCTCAGAGTGTTGAAGAACAGAGTGATGCAGATGTTTCTCTCGTGCTAAGGAACAAGAGAGTTCTTCAGGAAACAGGTCCCTTCGCAGTTTCACTGACATCAGTCGTCAATCTGCAAGGTAAGTTGTCCTTCTGCACAATCTATTTCAATCTGTTTATCCATCTTGTGTTTTTAACTTGTGTGTGCTCACAAGCAGGGGGAGAATATGATGTATCAGAGAACGAAAACTAGGATCTAAGCTAGAATTGTGGGGGAGCAAGACTTTTGATCTTGTTTGCATTGTTTTGAGTAGTTTTCGATCTAGAATTCTGGGGGAGTTGAGAGTTGAAAGTTCTTTGATCTTTTGGATTTAACTTTGTTCTGAATCATGTTTAATATTTCTATGACTAATGTTGAAGTATTCAGATCATCCCAGTATTCTGGTCATCTCTGGTATATGCACTGTGGTTTTGAGTTTTACAGGTGCTTGAGAGACACAAAGCTAAAAAGGGGGAGATTGAAGATGCAACTGGTTTGACGCAGATCGTGAATCAGTCAGGAAGTGCATCAGGACGTATGGACGGACTTGTAGCGGAGCTAAGTGGAGCTTAACGGAGCTAAAGGAATGTTGCTGAGCTGGATGCGAGCTTGTAGCGGATAAGGACGAATCCAGAAGAGGCGGTCGCTGAGCTGGATGAGGAGATTTGGAATTATCAAAAATGAATATTTCCTATTCTTAGAGAATAAGGAAAGGAAATATTCCCTTGGAGATTTGGAGTAATCACCAAGACACAAACCTTGTAGGTTTTGGCGGTTCGTCTATTGAGGATAAATAGAGGACCTTGGCTGCTTGGAAGCGGCTATCACAAACTAGAGCTTTAGCATATTTGGGTTTAGATTTCTTGTAAGAAAGCTAGGACAATGGGGGCTAGGGTTTGAGAGGTTCAAAGATCGTGGATAGATCTGAGAACGTGAGAGTTATTACAACAACAAAGATCGTGGATAGATCGTGATTGTTGAATTCGTTTAAGCATATACTTGTAAGTTATCTTAAAGAAGTTTCTAGTAATATATTTCTTTGTAGAGAAAACCCCGTCCCAGTTTGTGATCTACTACTGCATCAGTAGCCCTTGGTTTTTAAATAAATGACTCGGTGTTCTTCTTCCAAGCCGTGGAGAGAGTGCGATGTAACTACTTGACTCGTAGAAGGGTATTCTGGTCGTTTACACTCATTGGCGGTTTCTTCTTGGTCTCGAGCCTTGTTTATGTGAAGATGGTGAGATGGTGGAGACGATTACAGGAAGAGAAGCTGAGATTTCTGCTCCTTCTGCTCAGAGAGAAAGATCGGGTTTGTGTATATTTATTTATTAATCACTTAAATTTTCTGAGTTTTCAGAAGTTTATGGTTCGGTATTTAATTGGAATTTTCGCGATTTGTAGAAAATAAAGGAACTTATGGTAGAAATTGGGAGATTGAACGAGTTGTTAGCATCAAGACGCAGAGTTCGAGTGGTTCGAATTGTGTGACGAGACGCATATGTATATTTATGTACCATAAGTATATTTTGTATCCAAGGTCCAAAAAAAAAAAAAGGAACATTTTGTATCCGTTGTTTGATTATGTATACAAGACATGTTTTCACGTGTATATAAGAGCATATTTATTGGTGAGACTCAAAATGTCTCTTAGCTATTATAATACCAATAAACTTAATTTTAGAGACATTGGTAAGAGACATTTGTTTTGGCATCATTATTGGTGAGACTCAAAATGTCTCTTAGCTCCTTTTTGTTTTTGTGAATACAAAGTGTGTTGATGAATACATGATATAAATACACATTTGAGGAGTCTCAAATCCTCCGGCATAGTGAAAGTATGATCCGACAATGTGAGCATGATCTACCTCCCCAATTGATGTCCATATTGAGATTGCTTTAGTAAAAAAGCAATGGTTCGAAAAGCTGAGAGAATATATAAGACATGAGAAGAATTGTGATTTGATACTATGGTTTCACAAGATACAAATACAAGACACAGCAACACGATGATCATGACATTATTATCTCTTACCGTTATTATAACAATGATATTGGTAAATCAAAGACACCATCACCAGATTGCATTGTAAACAGAGATAATTGCTAGAACTAGCACGCACATACATTTGAATCTACTACAACAAAATTTTCAGTATAATTGCTCAAAATTAATCAAGCATACTCTCGTAAGTTAACGAACAAACATATAATCAAGTTTACGAACCGACATATAATGTGTGCCGAATCATCATCACAAAAACACAAAGCTTAAAGACCCAATTCAGAATCAATTACGCTGGGCTTTTGCAAAACACAAGTCATAAAACCCTAATTAGACACTAGATACAACCGATTGGAAGAAAACATACCATGCAAAAGGATCGTCCAATCTCTGCATCAAAATTTTTTATTTTCGTTTTGCTTCTTAGCCGAGTTCCAGCAACCACTTGATGATTAGGAAAAAAAAGTTCTTGGAGAAGAGATTTCGAAGTGATTTCTCAAGCGGAAATCAATTTTATTGATCATGATTTCCGAATCGATTTTATGGCATTCCAATCGCAGACACGGAGAAGAAGGGAGAGAGAGAAGGAAAGAGATGAATTAGGAAAAGAAAAAAATGTTTTCTCTTCACAATAACTCGGCCCAATTAGCAGCTGACATGTGGCACGAACAAACGTCCCTTAAAATTACTCAACTTCCCTTATATAAGCGACGTTTTATGCGAAATTA